CCCCCTCAATTTATCCATCATCTTCAACATCCACAAGGCACCAAACCTCCCCATATATATTGCATTCGATGCCCTCGGTCCCCATTCGGTCAACCTCACAATGCTGGATTCATTAATAGACACAGAAAACTCCTTAGCTTCCACTCTAAATCGAAAATTGAACTCCTTTGTACCAAACAAATCCACATGCCGCTGTATTGGTGCATCCGTCGGTTGAATGGAAGGGTGGACTGGCTTGGGCAGGTCAGGCTGGTTCTGCAGAAGCCCAGTCGCCGGCGCGTGTGACTCACGCGCTGCCGGAGCGCTTCCCGGAGACGGCGCCGCCATGGACGAGCTCGGAATGGCCTGCACGGCCTTCCGGTCAGGCGCGTGTAGCCAATGGGTCGCCGGAAGCCACTGTTGTTCCAGGACCTGGGCGGCGGCGCTAGGGTTTCCTCCTAGGGCCGCCGCCTGCACTTGTCTTTCCTGGCCGGAGGGACCAAGGTATGGTGGCGTGAGGCCGGTGGTTGGAACAGAGAGTATTGGGTTAGTGGGTTTGGATTTGGAAGGGAAGCTCTCCATGCGGCGGGGAGAGAGAAAAACGGGGCTAAAACGTTTATGGAAACTATCTATAAAAATTTATAAAAGTTTTAAAATGAAAGTTTATAGAAGTTTACAAAAAATTTCCACCAATTCCATTCAAATTTATATAAAAATAATCACTCAAAAAAATCCATCAAAGTTTTAAAAAATCTCAATTGAATACACTAGATTTAAATTGTATATATGAGGATATGACTAGTACGAGGTTAGATAATTGTGTAACAAATGAAAAAGTAGACCCTTTGTCCAATTCGATAAGGATCGAATCAATTACAAATCTACAATATTAAGGTAGGGACTCATAATTTTGTTCCAACTGCACAATAATGTGAGTGTTGCATTTTGCATATACATATAGACAAGACTTAGAATATATTAGATATGCATTGAGATTAACATATTTCGAGAATGTTAGTGATCACAAAAGTAACAATGAGCTCATAAAATAATTCATCGGATGAAATAATCCACCTACATGGATAGAAATCGCCGATAAAGAAGAGCCACACTAATTAATAAAAAGCTGGTTTTTGGGATGTCACGACGTAAAGGTTTGAGACAAGATTGTTACAAAGGTCAAATATTGAGGATGGTGGTTGTAATTTGCTCTTGTTCTTTTCCAATTCAACAGTCGAGCCGGGTTTTAAAAAATACCCGACCAAAACGCCCGATCCAACCCAATTTTACACCACACTTGTCTGGTTTTGACGGGAGTTTCTGTAACAAAAAGGTACGCGCATCCGTGCAAGATTCCAGTGAGTAACAGCTGATTACTCCCCTCTTCTCCCTGACCGAGATTAGGGGGTTTTCGCCTTTTCTCCGATCCCTTCCTTGCAATTTAATCAACAGGAAGCACCAGGGAGATCGACCTGGCGCTTACGTCTTAATCACTCATTCTTCTATCTTGAGAATTTTTGCTAATATTGATAAAGCAGAATATTTGACAAAAACGGAATGGGAGACGTGTGGGCATGGCTGCTTTTCTTCTTCACGCTTATTGCTTTGGTCGTTATACTTGTTTACCAGGTTAGTCCCACCTTAATTATGTTATTTACGCTATTATTGGATATATAATGATAAACCCTGACAGGAATTTTTGGATTGTGCTTTAAGTTTTGCATATATATGTTAGATTATTCGATACTTCCATGTTTGCTTTTGCTTTTGATGTAGTCTTAAAATTCAAATTGTACTAGATACAATACAGAATGGAAAGCGACTTTGGTTAGCAATAGTTATCTTTATTGATTACTGAATAATATTATTAAGTTTGCCTTTGCCAATTGGACTAAATTGTTTTTCCTTTTGATGTTATCTGCTTATGAATGTGAATTTTGTGAGGGCCAATGGTTTTGTAATGCTCCTTGAAAGAAAGGCTGATTTTTTAATCAAATGAAGTCAGTTTTCTTTTAGCACAATTTGTGGTCAGATGGCCGATTCCTTGTTGCAGGGGAGTACTTCATCCTACATCAAAATTTTGTTAAGATTGACATGAACACACGGGTCAGTACACTTGTTTCTGCATGGAATTTTCACTCAGTAGAGTTTCTGAAAATTAAGTGCGCAAATGTGGCTGTATGAGGGTTTATCTAGAGTTGAAAATCTTGAAGCATGTGAGCTTCAAATCCATTTCCATGAAGTTCTGACTTACACGAGTTTTTGCATGATTGAATCTGAATGAATTTCAAATTTTAAATCTATTGAAGGTTGCATTTATGGTGTGGAATGAGTCCAAATAACTCATTCAACTTGCATTATTTTGTAGTTCATTCCAATTCGTGAGGTACAGTTTGATACCACCAATTGTAGTTTTGGTAATCTATGCCTTGGAATTGAAAATTGTTTAAAATACACTTCTGTGCTTTAACTTATTCCTGTTCCTTTTAAAAATAACTCCTTGCAAATTATAGATTTCATATTCGAGTATTAAATCTTGGTTTGAGATCACAATTTGCTGTTCTATATTGTTGACATTTTTTTATGACCTTTGAACTTGGCCAGAAACTAAAATGTCCGAACATTTCCAAGTATGTTGTAGCATCAGAGTTTATGGAGAAAAGAGGACAAGGGATTTTGTCTTGTACATATACAGAAATGCCAGAAATTAGCTATTTATTTTAAGTTTGTCTTGTACCATAGTGCTTAGGGTTGTCAGGTGTCGACTAAAATATCCTTAGTTGTTTCCATGTCAAGCAAATCGGTTTGATACATGGACTCTTAATATGCTGTGCAGCTCATGTGCTTGGCAGATCTAGAGTTTGATTATATCAACCCATATGACTCTGCATCTCGAATAAACAGAGTGGTTTTACCAGAGTTCA